CTTGTTTGGTTTTTAATTATTGATGCTTAAGAGCAGAAAATAATATTACATTGTCTGTTGTGAACAGGTTTTTTTTTTAAAGTATTTCCTTTGCTGTTTAATTTTTCTTATCTTTTACACTTAACATAGATTTCACTGGGCTATATTCGTTAGTCTTATATCAAAATATTAAAAGGTGGTTGGAATGAATAAATCAATATTTATCAGAAGGATAGTAAAAAAATCGGTCTTCAGGTTTCAAAACAGTTATTAATTCCTGGGACTCGCTAAGTAGTGTCATGATTTTAAATGCTATTATTGTTCCTGGTGTAGAAGGAGTTACATTATTAGAAATTGAGATGGGTTTAGTTACATTTAAAAACATAGTTACCTTTCTTAAAGTGTGATTAAATTCCTTTTTGGTTTGACTATATTTTTTCTGCAGAACAGGACCTTCATTTAGATTTTTGAAGCGATTTCAGTAAAATACAAACATTTGTATCAATTTCAATTTTGTAATGGTGTGACACTTTATTAATTCTAAAAATTAAATGTAATCTATAGTTATCAATAAAAGTTAGTCTATAGTTAAAAATGTATTAAGGCCGTATATGACTAAACGAATTTGGATGAAATTTGGCACACGGATTAAAATATGTAAAATAATTTTAAGAAGATAAAATCTAAGATACCTGCGGGATGATTACTAAAGAAATTAAATGACGTAGCGCCTTGAACTTTTGATATACCTAGATGTTTCCGAACGGATATTATTCTGTTTAAAAATAATTATAATAATAAACCACTACGCCATCCGTGCAGTCAAAAAGTTTACCCATAGAGTATATTTTAAAACTATCTTAAAACTTTAAAAAATCCGTGTGGTGACGGATTAAGAATACGCAATGTCACCACCCCTATTCATCCCGTGGGTGTCGTAAGAGCCGACTAAGGGCAAAATACGCTGGACAACAGCACTGCAAAGGGAAGGAAAACTTGACACAAACCCTATACCAACAAGACTGGCGAGCGTGGTATAGTAGGCCAAAACCTCTAAGGAGAGGCCTATGTCCAGCAGGGCAGGACTATTATAGGCTGTTGATGTTAATGTAGAAAGTTATAGCAATATTTACCTTTTGTGTCCTTATGCCTTTGAAAGTAGCAATTGCAAATGATTTTTAAAGCTCATTATCCTTATCAACTAATGACTTGTCAAACTAGTACCTGTTTACGCTATTTTGATCTTTTATCAACTACAATTGTTTAGCACTTGCATTAACTACAAATTATGTAAAGATAAAATAACAAGCCAAATGTTAGTGAAGTCATTATTGTCAAGGTACATCCGCCAAGTCTGTATGTACACTGATAAATAATAAATCAAAAGATAATTGACTTCAGACTCCATATTTTCTGATAACGTGGTTCAGACGTAACTAGTTTTCTTGTTTATCCCTCTAACTGAACTATTGTTAAGCTAAGCTAAGCTGGATGGTGTGTGAACGCGAGACCATCCCATCGCAAGTCTACTTTTCTTTAAACTTTATACTAATTTCTTAAACTATTAGTCGAATTCAAGAAAAAAAAATCTGTAAAATCGAATGATAACACAATTTTTTGAGGAAGGTTACGTGAGAATACAGAATGGCTATCGTTCAATAATTCTCTTTACAAAACTCAGTGAAGAAATTCACAAAACAAAATAATATCCAGAGACATTGTTGCTATCTAGACAAACTACGCAGATCGTGTAATCAGAGAATCTTCGATAAATAACCATTATTTTGCTGTTAAATCGTTTAGCACGCACTACAATCTAGGTCGTAGCCCTTCAGATGATGCAAGTCTAGGTCTGCTAACGTAATATAATTAGCTGTCGTTTGTTGCTTGCGTGTTATTAATATTAGATAAGATAAGTTATACTATAGTATAAAAATAATAGTATTTGATTAGATACTTTTCTAAGTGGAAGACAAGCAATATCGGATTATAATTGTTCTTTACGTTAGTGAATCTTTTCCTTTATGAATACACAGACGGGCTTGGTGGTTTAATAGTTGCAGATCGTGGCTCTTGAGTCAGAGGTTTTTGGTTTCGATTTGCACCCAGAACCGATTATTATGTCACATCACAGCACATCAACAGCCTTTAATAGTCCACTGCTGGACATAGGCCTCTCCTTAGAAATATGGTTTTGGCCTACTATACCACGCTGGCCAGGCGGGTTGGTATAGGGTTTGTGTCAAGTTTTCCGTCTTTTTGCAGTGCTGTTGTCCTGCGTTGTTTTGCGCCCTTAGTTAGATTATTGTGTACTTATAAATTATTGTATCATTCGTTCTGTGTTTAGTGTATGTTCTGTAATAAATAAACATTTTTATCAGCGGTGTGGCTAAGTGAACTTAGTATAATATTCTTCCAAGTTTGGAATCTGTGATCTATGATGTGTGTAAAGTTACAAAAGAAACTTAATAACGTGTAACAAATCCTTGCCTTCGTAGGTTATGACATAGCTAATAGTATTATTTATGAATGCGTATGATTCTAGATAAAAGGAAATATATGTATTCATTTGTTCTGTAACTTTACCAATCATCATCAACAGCCTTTAATAGTCCACTGCTGGACATAGGCATCTCCTTAGAAAGGAGGTTTTGGCCTACAATAGCTCTACACTTTATCATAAAAATAAACTTTACCAATGAATAGTCTAAATTTTATCTGTTCCAACTTTCATGTAATGTGTTTCATTTTCAGTGTCATTATTTCTGTATACCCTTCGATCTAGAGACATGTATTTATCTACCAAGATTAATGTAGTCATGTAAGTTTACGATCGTTTTTTGTTGTGATACCTTTATATAATCAAGTGAGTCAGGAATCATCCGGGCAGTCCTTGGCTTGACTTTGTTGGCTATGTATGACTAATTTTGAGGCTCAGTTTAAATGTTGAGATATGTCGTTTAGTGCATATTTAGTTATCGACGAAGACAGTGGTGCTTGAGAATCATCAGGTTTAGTTACTTGGATATGTAAGTTATAAAAAATAATATTTCTTAAATTAAATATTACATAATGTTTTACTCAAGAATTCGTTAGCATTTTTTGTAAGTCCTAAAACTATCATGTAATTGAGAAATGAAGTTCTACGTCATCGTCACAGTAAGATTAATAGGATCTGTATGTTTTATCCAAACCCATCCATGTTATTAAGTGCCTAAAAATTTAATTATAAAAATTGCAAATGATGATAAAATAATCTGTAGGCTGTGTAATAAAATGTTGTAATTTTAAATTTATAATTCGTGTGTCATGTTTAGACCGAGTAAGTGTGATGTGTGAGATTAAAAAAAAAATACTTAGCCTTACATTGTCATACATAATCACGGTAGTGTTTAGTACCTGAAAAGCATTGCTTAATTTTTCATAATTACCAAATACCTGCTTAAGATCGATTTAAGAATAATTGTAATTTTTTGTTCTATCCCATTTGTTAAGCAACTATTAAAAAGTAAACAAAAAATAAAATTGAACGTGTTTTAAAAATCTAAACAACTGCACTACGTAGTATCGAAGTAACCACAGACAGAACAACAAAAGAATTACAAAATGCACGCAGACGTTTTTATTTAACATTGGTTATCAATTTTATTGCCGTATTCAATCTAAACAAAGGTTTCCACTCGACCCTAATCGCTAATAAACCTAAAAAAAACACCTCCGATTTCACAAACCATCGCGTATGGCAAAACCACGACCATTAAAACATTTTATACCGCTTTTACGGACGTACTACCGAATTACTAATAATAAAACACACGCGCAAAGTCCTGTCACTACTGAGGCTCGATCCTATCAAAATCAAGTTTACGTCCATCTACTAAACAAAGAGCAGTTAAATATCGCGAAGCATGATATAGTAGATTTGCACCGAGAGCCAGTGGTCGAGTGAACGCTTTCCGTTTAACAACCCCGTTGTCTCGAATCCTCAATTCTTACGTCACCTCACCCCATACGAATGCAGCTCGCGTATTGGTCAGTTCAGTTTGGCGCGCTTTCTATATTCCAAATCCAAAATCCACAATATCATTTCTTCCCCTTCCACTAAGGGACGAAGCAGTATGATCAAAGCGAGAGAACTACACTTTACCGATTGCTGTTGTAACATGATGTAACTTGATTGGAAAGAGAGACACTTATGTCAATTTAAAAAGTCGAAAAGAGAAAGGACGAGTTGTTGCGACGTTGATTGTAGTCGTGGAGCTCGAAGGGAGCGTGCTACCGTGCGTTCCACTATTTATAATCAAATAGGTTTTGTTTGTGTGCGTGTGTGTGCACACGTTATGCACCGCACTAACACAAGGGACGCGGGGGACACGGGGACGCGTCGAGCGAGGCAATGATGTGCACGAAGTATTATCCCTTATTACACGATTTGCTTCCGCGACGGCCGCACGTGCAATAGTCGTCAGTCGACCTCTTTTGTAGAGCGGCGTGCGAAGTCAGTTTGTTTACATCGGTTAGCCGCAGCGATGCATAGTGCGTTAGCGCGATTGTGTCATCGACCGTGCGCTGGTTACACCTAAATTGCGAGTGATTTACGAACAATGTACCGCATGAGTTTTTGCGCTCAAAAACTTTTTGAGAACTTGTGAACTTTTGAGGTCGGAACTTTACTAGTGATCTCATTGTCGCCAAATTGAACAGTGTATATTTTTATTTTGGACCTTGTGCCATTTGTGTGTCAAAGTGAACTTTTCTAAGTGATTTTTTGCAAAATAGACTTTTGAAAACTTTTTTGCCAGAAAATTTTGTACTCATAGAAGACTTTCCCAACAGAAAAGAACTAAGTCTAAATTATTAACAACATTTTAAACTTATAATTCTTTTATATGTAGTTGGAGAAATAATTTCTAAAGAGGAAGAGAAAAAAACACAAATAGGCATCCAGCCTTTATGCATAAAAAACAAACGGCAATCTGCCCCCGATTCTTTCGTAGAAAAAGGCGCTGCGAGAAAATAAAATGGCTATAGCATTCAACTTGCCGAGTGAAAGAGAGGCAACAGAGGAGAACTTCTCGCGGCTGAACCGGCTTCTAGCCGAACTGTACGAAGTTCTGTGCCACATCTTGGTATCACGCCAACCTGGCCAAGAAGCCCAGGAGAATAGGCGAGGTGAGTGTCCTCGTGAGCATAACACACCACCTTACCACTTAAGATGCAATTCGACCTACATTGTCAACCTTGTAATGGTTGTGGCCATCATAAAAGTGTCCCTCGCATCGTCTCTCTTCAATACCATCAGATAAAAGAAGATCGCGTTAGATAAGTATTGTTGACAGTGATACTGCAAAGCAGGTCTGGACTGTTGTTACTTATTTTTAAGTCCCTCCGGTTTTTTTTTTATGATTTTGTATTTGATCTGGAAGAGATGTTGTGTCCAACTGCACTTAAATTGTAAATGGTGGTTTCTTTCAAATTAAATTGAGATGTTCAGGCAACTCAATATTATTCATATTTTGCAATTCTAACATTTATTCTGCTTATTAAAATGAATTTTGCTTTTCGATGAATTTGAGTGAAGTTCGACAAAACGCCTCGTGATATTTGTACACTTAATTGTGATACTCAAGTGTCGTGCATTTAATTAAATAAGTAAATGGTACTTGGAAAGAAAAATAGTTTCCTTGAATATGTTTGTAAGAGCTTCATATGCCTTAAATATCAGCTGCATTTCTAAGACGTTATTTTTCAGTAATGTAATTGATAATATTTTTACAAATATTTTAGTGTTGTTAAGTTTTTAGTTTAGTTACATTTTCCATTTGATCTCTTGTTTATCAATTTTAGATTCATATTTTTTAGTTTAATTTATTTAAACTAATTTGACATCAGAGTCAAGATTAATTAATCTTACTTTTATAAGACACTGTAGATCTCATATAATATTTTAGTTCCAAATAATATCGATAGTCATAAATAATTTCTCTTTCGTTTAATTAATTTTCATTGGATGGATTATACACCAAATATTAGTTAAATATTATTAAATCTTAAATGAATTGGAAAGCCTTTTAAAATTTATGAAAAATGACTAAGGATGACTATTATTCCTTCATGAATTAGTCGCCTATTTTTTAACTATAATAAAATTATAACTTTAAGTGGGTGTTTAATACGGCCCTGTCTACCCCTTCGGGGATATCAGAGGTGAGTGTATGTAGTTAAGCACTACTGTAAATATATTTTATAATAAATCATCAGGTCAATTTAATTTTGTTGATATAATGATACAATTCTGTTTCACAGAAAAATATGTTCTGTTTAAAAAAAAAGAAAAACAAGAAAAAAATTGTTTCTTATATTTTTTAAATGATATAGAATTAGTTATTTGTCATGTAAATATCGCATTTAAATGTTTGTGATTTTTCTTTTCTTAAATAAGCATTCATGATTATTAACAAGTACCTATCCTAGTTAAGTACCTACCGCATGTAATCGAATCGTATATTACCTGGATTGTGTTAATTTTGTCACCCAAACATTTTATGGGGTTATAATTGTGAAATAAATATTATTTTGTAAAAATTACTACGTAAATTATTTTCTTAAAACTTCCTTTACCCAAAATATTAAAGGTTTATGTCAACTTTTGAGTTTATAAAATTAACAGGAAATAATTATAAAACGCTAGCTGATGTAGAGGGATCATGTTTTGATTTGGACGAACAATCTGCTACAATGAATAATGGATTTAGAAATTAAAATAAATTAAGACCAGAATATCATCTATACTTGTAATATAGTATAGTACAGTTAATTTATAAGAAGATACTTAAATTAAAGAGATAAAAAAGATACTTAAATTAAATATTTTTAACTGCATAAACTTAAAAGAACAGGAAGAAAAAAATTAAAAGAAGAAGATGCAAATGCAGAAAATGCAGATGCAAAAACATTTCAGCGAATACTAAGATCGCAAATCATACACAATCTTAAAACTTAGCTTTTGCCTCACTCCTCGTCAATTGAGTCAAAAATACCACTTGTTTACACTGCGTGCGAGTACATCGCTGTCAGCATCTGGACATGTTCCAACTAGTCCTGAATCGTGGTGACAAGAATAGGTAATATTGACTTCCTGGGAGTTGTTATTTCGTTATTTAGTATTTACTATATTAGTAACAAATTATGATTAAAACCTGTAAGACATATTTAAAAAATATATATATTTACAACGGATTTAATATTAGATCTCTGTTATAAATCTTAAACTTAAGAAATATTAAAAGTACAGCAAAATATCAACTAATAGTGATTAAGTTAAAATCGAGACGGAAAATATGAACTAGTTTAAGCTTGGCTGGGACGTAAACTTGGCACGCTCTAAATCGTGGTTGTAGTCACGAATCGACACGGTACAAGGTTAGAACTTGGAGCGAGGTAACATTACTGACTGCACTGCATTTGACTGCACGGATGGCGTAGTGGTTTAAGCGGTCGCCACGCCGCTTCGTATTACGCCGAGTGTTGTGGGTTCAAACCCCACATGGGACAACACTTTGTGTGATCCACAAATTGTTGTTATGAGTCTGGGTGTACTTTGTGTCCGTTTCATGTATGTTTGTAAGGTCCCCCGCGACACAGGATTTATTCCTAGTGCGGGAGTTGTCTTTTTAAACAATTTTAAACAACAATTAAAATCAATTCGCAAAAAGATTAGATTGGAAGTAAAACGTGAACAATAAACTCAGAATCTTAGTTTCAAAAAAGGTTCCAACTCAAACAATAGCGAAAACGATGTAATCAAATATTTCCAAATGTGCCCAGTACAAGCAAATATAACCTTGTTATTAAAACTACATATTTTAAAAGTGGGTTTAAATTTTGTTTTATTACAATTTAGATACTGATCTGGCTACGCACGAGTACAAATTCAAAAGTTATGGTCATCAAACTTTTAACTCTGTTCTAGCAATAATAGTTTTTACAATAATAATCGAGTATCTAATAAGCTAACGTACATTATACTAAGGTTAAGCCATAAACATAAAGTATACATCGCTATGCATTTATACATTGCACCATTACAAGACGTTGGCAATGGACTCGATGCAAACAGCTCGACAATTGAAAGCGAAAATTGAAGCAACTCCGAGTATCGTGGACGAAGAAATCGAAATCACATGTAGGAAAGTTTATGACTGTCTATCTAGAACTTTGAACGATATCCGTTAAGTGATTTAAAAGCAAAATTCATTTTAGTAAAGCAATCAAAATAGCCAAAGCTTCTAACCCTTAATTTCAGCCTAAGAAGTCATCGATTACTACTATTTACAAGAACCGTTTGTGTGGTCTTTAATACAGAATGACAAAGTTAAATCATCTATCATAAAAAAAATATTAAAACGTATTCTTTTTCTTATAATACATTAACAAAACCGTAAGTAAAACTTTGTCAAGAAGTAAGTCACGGTTTTAAAAAAAAAAATCTTATTTTCGATTACAATCGAAGTGGAAAGGGACGGTTCAATGATTTTTAAAACTCTTTTTTCATTTTATTCATGAAGAATATCGTCGGTGCCCATTGTGATCGACGTTCGATTCAACTGTTTTTTTCTTTGGTGCAATTGTGGATAAGTAATCAAGTAATACTGGTTTTGATGTCTCATTGATGGTTCCTTAATTGAAGATGGAAAAAACTACTGCAGCCTGAGTGAGGCTAATTAGAAAGTTTAATAAGAAATAAATCTTACTCAGTTTTGTGGTCATACTACGTGCGGCGCTGTACGTAATTAGAACAGTATTTAAAATATTTTTTGTTTAGCATTTACTGTAAATCTAGATGCATTTACAGCAATTTACAAATGATTAGAACCAAAATGAGAACCAAAGAACTGATGATATAATTCCAATCACATATCCTCCTCATTGGGCATTATATGTACAATTAATATTAACATAAATGCAATACAAAATCATTGTACCGCCTTTAAGGGATAAAAGTAGCTCCTCTACTGTAGTAAATTACAGTGAGAAAGTGGTGTAAAATCTTTTAAGTGAAACGGACATAATTCATTATCTTTTAACTCATTTGGCTACTCTTATTAGAATAGATTTTCTGACTAGTTCAAGCCAATAGGTCCATCATCAATTCCTTAAAGTAAATAAAGGGATGAAGAATACAATTTAATACAAATATTTCACATAATTTTAATGCTTTAATGCAGTCAAAGAAGATACATGGATAAACAGAGAGTCAAAATATATAGCTTGGCCATTTTGTTACTACAAGAGCTAATGTATAACAGTAAAATAATTAACAATGAATAAATTTTTCATCTTACGCCCTGTGAAGGTAACGAATCGGCCCAGCCAAATATTTTGATTAAGGTGTAGAGTAACCTCCTTTCTAGGGAGAGGCATATGTCCAGCAGTGGACTATTAAAGGCTTTTGATGATGATTGATGGAGGTGTAGAGTTTGTGAAGTTAGACCTTGTAGAGTTAGGCGTGTCGAGACAGAAACTTGACTCCACACGAGATTTGATAACTTTTTGAAATTGCGAGCCATATTGTCTTGTCCTGGCAACATTTTACATGAAAATGTTTTTGGTGGTGTCATGGTGCAAAATAAGATATATTAAAAAGAGAATACAGAAATAAGAGATAGGTAAACACAAAATCAGTCACCAATTTTGGAAATGCTACTTCAGTATTTTTTTAAACTAGCGAGTGTGTGCTCGACTGTTGGGTAGTGGCAATGCATTCCACAAGCGTATGGCTTGTACTGTAAATACTGTACATAAAAGTCGTATTAGAGTCGTAGTAAGAAAAGTATTCGTCGTATAATTCTTTTAGATTAATTACTTAAAACCAGAAGGCGTTGTTTTTAAAAGTAACTGATGAATGCGACACGAGATTCTTCTAATCTCTTGTTTTCTTCATTCTAGATGCTGTTTTTTCTGAAACAATAGCACTGGTTATAAGCATTTAACTAGTACATAAAAAGGTTCTAAAGTTTATTAAGCAGAATTTCAACTTTAACTACTCGTAATACTTATTATGTTAAAGTTAAACTTTAACACACACAACACAACATACGAAACACAAGAAACTGCTAATTCTGAAAAGATAAAGTACGATTAAATAATAGCTCAATTGACTGCACGGGTAGAGTAAGGGTTTAAGCGGTCGCCACGCAGCTTACTACTACGCTGAGTGTTGCGGGTTCGATCCCCACCTGTGACGTTTTTCTGAGTATGGGTATTCTTTGTGGCTTTTTTATTTATGTTTCTAAAGTCTGCCTCA